ATTGAAGTGATGTATAAACAGTCATTGTAAAATCACCGTTGATGTGAGACTCTATTGAAGTGATATATAAACAGTCATTGTAAAATCACTGTTGATGTAAGACTCCATTGTAGTGATATATAAACAGTCAATGTAAAATCACCGTTGATGTGAGACTCCATTGTAGTGATATATAAACAGTCAATGTAAAATCACCGTTGATGTAAGACTCAATTGTAGTGATATATAAACAGTCATTGTAAAATCACCGTTGATGTAAGACTCTATTGTAGTGATATATAAACAGTCATTGTAAAATCACTGTTGATGTAAGACTCCATTGAAGTGATGTATAAACAGTCATTGTAAAATCACCGTTGATGTGAGACTCCATTGTAGTGATATGAGTATATAAACAATCATTGTAAAATCACCGTTGATGTAAGACCCCATTGTAGTGATATATAAACAGTCATTGTAAAATCACCGTTGATGTAAGACTCCATTGTAGTGATATATAAACAGTCAATGTAAAATCAATGTTGATGTGAGACTCCATTGTAGTGATATATAAACAGTCATTGTAAAATCACTGTTGATCTAAGACTCCATTGAAGTGATGTATAAACAGTCATTATAAAATCACCGTTGATGTAAGACCCCATTGTAGTGATATATAGTCATTTTAAAATCACCGTTGATTTAAGACCCCATTGTAGTGATATATAAACAGTCATTGTAAATTCACCGTTGATGTGAGACTCCATTGTAGTGATATATAAACAGTCATTATAAAATCACTGTTGATGTAAGACTCCATTGTAGTGATATATAAACAGTCATTGTAAAATCACCGTTGATGTAAGACTCCATTAAAGTTGATGTATAAAATACTTTTAGTGAGAATAAAGTACAGAGTCTTGTATAATCCAACTGTATAAACTGGTCCATTGCAGTTCTAATAACTAGAGGAATGTTTCTTTGTAAAGTACTGAAATCACTATATCCAACAAACAACGAGAAGCCGATGTTTTTATATATTTCCTTGAGGCTTTTTATCAACCCGATATTTTGGTTTGCAGATGTTGATATATCTCATAACTGCGCCTGTCAAATTGAAGATAACTTTTTTTCTATTTCAATTTTTAGTACTTTAATTTAGAATATTATGGTTAATTTCTTCGTTAAGACATTGAGAAAATTCATTCTTGTTTCTGCCCTCAGAATATAACCCGGGGTATAGCTTGGAAGGTTTAAATATCGCCAAATAAAGGTATTGTCAATTCTATTAAGTATTTTTTTCAGAACACGCCTCCTTTCCACCATTTCGATAAATCATTCTCGATTTGCTTTCATTCAAGGGAGTCGGTGGAAGCATGGTCTAAACCGTTGGTTTTCGACCACTATGACCCGGGTTTAATTCCAGCGTTGGGCACTTTTTTCTGTGAAAAAAAAAATACTCCAATGGCCCCCGAGTCTTGCAAAAGTCCAACCCCACCAGCGAGTTCAAGTAATCAAACAGGGCTCTGACACATTTGTAAGTGCAAAGTCGAACTGCTTTTTACATGTGTAGACATGTGGTGCACTTACAGTAAAAAGCAGTCGCTAACTTCTACCCTCCATTATTATTAATATGGGCTGTACCATGTGGTGTGTGTACTAGGTATAAGCACAAAAAACTTTTTTCATATTCAATAAAGAAACTTATCCTTATCGAATCTAATCGTTATTATAATATTCAATATATGACTGTTCTCTACAGGTTTGATCTGCAAGGATGTAGTTACCTGATTTGAAATGTTTGTATCAATTTGATATGGTCTGAATATACAGTTAATCTTATATATTTCAATGATATAATTTATCTTATATGAAATAAAAATTCGCAAAGAAAATTCGTTTATGATATAATTCCTTAAAAAATATTTCTTTAAGAGAAAACATGTTTATAAATATATTATGATTGATAAAAATGACTCTAAATTTTCATAAATATATATCTCAAACGTAATATTGACAATACTATCCCATATTTTAAGAGATTCAAGACAACTGGGTCGGCACTTGCATCTCTACCAATTGTTGCACTGGGCTGCGGTTTGGCAGATTTTTCAGTCGTGTTTCTCTCCTCAGACGTGTCTTGCATCTTTCCAGAACGTGTCTCAACCATTCTACAAGGTTAAAGTAGTCAATAATAAGACAACTATATATTTAGGCAGCACCTAGAAAGTCTCTTTTTTTATCACATCAAAGTTTAAAGCAGGTGGGGTATTTAGTGTATCAAAATACAAATGTTTTATAGTACATAATATTTTATAGTAATAATCTGTTTATAAAAATAAATAAATGTATAATTTAAATTTTAAATATATTAAAAATAATATTATAAATAATTTTAAAAATACTCGCATCAATCATGATGCAACAATATAAACAGTCATTGTAAAATCACTGTTGATGTAAGACTCCATTGAAGTGATGTATAAACAGTCATTGTAAAATCACCTTGATGTGAGACTCCATTGTAGTGATATATAAACAATCATTGTAAAATCACCGTTGATGTAAGACCCCATTGTAGTGATATATAAACAGTCATTGTAAAATCACCTTTGATGTAAGACTCTATTGTAGTTGATGTATAAACAGTCAATGTAAAATCACTGTTGATGTGAGACTCCATTGTAGTGATATATAAACAGTCATTGTAAAATCACCTTTGATCTAAGACTCCATTGAAGTGATGTATAAACAGTCAATGTAAAATCACCGTTGATGTGAGACTCCATTGTAGTTGATGTATAAACAGTCAATGTAAAATTACCGTTAATGTAAGACCCCATTGTAGTGATATATAAACAGTCATTGTAAAATCACCGTTGATGTAAGACTCCATTGAAGTGATGTATAAACAGTCATTGTAAAATCACTGTTTATGTGAGACTCCATTGTAGTGATATATAAACAGTCAATGTAAAATCACTGTTGATGTAAGACTCCATTGTAGTGCTATATAAACAGTCAATGTAAAATCACTGTTGATGTGAGACTCCATTGAAGTGATATATAAACAGTCAATGTAAAATCACCGTTGATGTAAGACTCCATTAAAGTTGATGTATAAAATACTTATAGTGAGAATAAAGTACAGAGTTTTGTATAATCCAACTGTATAAACTGGTCCATTGCAGTTCTAATAACTAGAGGAATGTTTCTTTGTAAAGTACTGAAATCACTGTATCCAACAAACAACGAGAAGCCGATGTTATTACATATTTCCTTGAGGCTTTTCATCAACCCGATACTTTGGTTTGCAGATGTTGATATATCTCATAACTGCGCCTGACAAATTGAAGATAGCTTGTTTTCTTTTTCAATTTTTACTACTTTTATTTAGAATTTTATGGTTAATTTCTTCGTTAAGACATTGAGAAAATTCATTCTTGTTTCTGCCCTCAGAATATAACCCGGGGTATAGCTTGGAAGGTTTAAATATCGCCTAATAAAAGTATTGTGAATTCTATTAAGTATCAAGGCCTGATCATGTTCCCAATTTTTTTCAGAACACGCCTCCTTTCCACCATTTCGATAAATCATTCTCGATTTGCTTTCATTCAAGGGAGTCGGTGGAAGCATGGTCTAAACCGTTGGTTTTCGACCGCTATGACCCGGGTTTAATTCCAGCGTTGGGCACTTTTTTCTGTGAAAAAAAAAAAATACTCCAATGGCCCCCGAGTCTTGCAAAAGTCCAACCCCACCAGCGAGTTCAAGTAATCAAACAGGGCTCTGACACATTTGTAAGTGCAAAGTCGAACTGCTTTTTACATGTGTAGACATATGGTGCACTTACAGTAACAAGCAGTCGCTAACTTCTACCCACCATTATTATTAATATGGTCTGTACCATGTGTACTAGGGATAAGCAAAAAAAGGTTTCTTTCATATTCAATATATGACTGTTCTCTACAGGTTTGATCTGCAAGGGTGTAGTTACCTGATTTGAAGTGTTTGTATCAATTTGATATGGTCTGAATATACAGTTAATCTTATACTTTTCAATGATATAATTTATCTTATATGAAATAAAAATTCGCAAAGAAAATTCGTTTTCGATATAATTCCTTAGAAAATATTTCTTTGAGAAAACATGTTTATAAATATATTATATGATTGATAAAAATGACTCTAAAATTTCATAAATATATATCTCAAACGTAATATTGACAATACTATCCCATATTTTAAGAGATACAAATAAAATATCATTACTTATATACTACAGCAAAACGTCCCTGTGATGGACACCTAATTGCAGAGCCAAAGTGTCCTTTAAGGAGAGGTGCCCTCTTATAGGATAGTTGCTAAATTGTAGAAATGGTCATTTTTAAAATGAAAACTGTCCTTTGTGGAGAGGTGTCCGCTAAAGGGAGGTTTCTACTGTATTAATTATAAAATGAATTCCAATATGCAATTAGATCTAAAATATATTGTTA